TCCTCAAAAGTACCCTTACGTTCCACGTTCCTACCATTAAGTGATCTTTTGGATATGTGTTTCTATTGCCTTTTTTTGTAGTTTTTATCTTTAAATCACCCTTTCCTATGACAATGTTACCGGTATTCATGTCCTTGTTCCTAGCGTTGTTCGTCTTCGTATTTTTACTATCATAGCCGTTTTCTAGTTTTTTGAGTTTGTTATTTCCATTTTATCTTCCTTGCTATTCCACTTCCATTCAACACCATTTATCACCATTTTCCTTGCTCCTATTTTGACTTCGTTTCCTTTGTTTCTTTCCTCTTGTGCAATTTTTCTTATTATTTTTTGAATTTCTCTCTCTCTCACCGTTGTGTCATCGTTGATGTATACCTTTTCCTTTTTGACGTCCTTTAACTTTGCTTTATTCTTCATAACTTTTATCTTTTCTTGTTGGTTCTCCATTTCAATTAGGCACGTTTTTGGACCTAGTTTGTGGGCCGTCTTTATTTAGGCCTCTACTGCAAGGTGATCTTTTATAAAATTGCCAATTGCTTCCTTCAATACCAGCTGATCCTGCGTATCAATTGCTAGACCGTTCATTACCACATTATTTCGGATTCTCTGTTTTTCTATAATTTCTATGTTGTCTCGTATTTCCCTTAATTCTTTCTTAATCTGTATGTTTTCCTCTTTTAGAATTTTATTATCATTCTTTAGTTCCTTGTTTTCCCTTATTAGATGTTCAACTACCTCCTTGTATTCCTTTTGGTCTTCTTTTATTTATCTAATGTCGCTGGTTAGGTTGCTCATCATTTCTAGCAATTTATCAAGTTTTGCTCCATCCTCTTTTCCTCCTGTCTTCTGAGGGGTTCTTGTTAGTTTTTTATTTTTTCTGGATCTCTCTTCCTCTTGCTCATCATCCTCTCCTCTATTCTTTCTTTTTGCTCCTTCATCTGTTGTTGTATCGTCACTGTCCATATACGTTTTACCTTGTAGATATTTTTCCATCCTTGTATGCTTTTCCTTTTTTTTTGGTCACTTCGCGGATTACTTTCAACTCTGATTGGCGCCAGACACTATCTCTCGCTTCAACAGCTCGGAAGAAACAGTATCTACCACTTCCTGTTGAATCCCCTATTCGAAGTCTCGACTAATTTTGTATTCCGTGGCAAACACGAAACTTTGCACACATTGGCAACGTCGCAATTCACTTAAACGTAGCTTCCTTCCCAGTGTTAGTTCTTATCAGTTAACCTCGCTTTTTTACCTTATCCGATTATTCACTTTATTATTGTTTTTTACAGTTTTCGGTGTTTATTTTTGCACAGTTGTTACCTTATTCAGTTATCTCAATTTTCACTACAACGTATTGAATTATTTCTCCCGTTGCAACTCTCGAATTTCGGGTTTATCGCAGACAGAAAATAAAACAAAAATCTTCAACTCCGCGCCACGTTGCCGAGTTTTTTTTTTTTTTTTTTTTTTTTTTTTTTTTATTGACAACAATATTGTACATATTGTTGTTAATAATATTTGATGTTTAATATTTAATTATATTTTACTTCACGTAACATACACCCATGCATTGTGTGAGTTCCAGCGTCAGAGAGGTTTACTCTCCGGAGGTAACTGTATGTCAGCCGATTGTAAAAAGCCTAGGGACACACCTGCCATATGTGCTCTCTGCAATAGAGCACACACCGCAAATTAAAAAAGGATGCATGGTATATAAAGAGTTAATTTGCAGTAACAACAGAAGAAGATATGGGAATAGTCAAAAGAAGATATAGGAATCGATTAAAATTGTATCGCATAATAAATTATTTGTAATTATTAAGTGTAAAATAAATTATTAGTAATAAAGACTTTGATAAATTCGTGAGTGTTATAAATATTGAACCTTTAGCAAATTAAAATAATAAAGATAATAAATTAGAATTAATAAAGACTCAATAATATGGTAAAAGGACCATTACACAGAGTTCAACTTCCACCTGGAACACTCATTAAAGAACCAATAGATACATTCCGCTTATATTTGACTGAAAATATTGTGGATGACATTTTTCGTTACATCAATCTAGAGGCTCATCGTGTATTGCAAAATAAACCATGGAAGTCCTGTGATAGAATTAAAATGTATGCTTTCTTTGGCCTCCTGTTCATCGCAGGACATCTAAAATCAAAGTATGCAAGTTATAAAGCTTTATGGAATTACTTTATGGACCACAGATTTTTCGAGCCACTATGGGTATAAATCGGTTCAAGGAGCTTTTGCGTTTCATTCGTTTTGACGACAAAACGACAAGATCCAAGAGACGCAAAAAGATAAACTGGCTGCTATACGGGATATATGGGATAAAATATTGGGAAATTTGAAAAAGCATTATTTGCCTGGACGAAATATAACAATCGACGAGCAGTTGATGCCTTATCGTGGAAGGATGTCCATTCAAACAGTATATTCCTTCAAAACCCGACAAGTATGGGATAAAAATACGGTGGGCATGCGACTCAGAAACTTTTTATCTTCTAAATGTGATTCCATATCTCGGCAAAGAAGGTAACCAAGTAGTTACTGGTTTGGGACGTAGCAGATTCTCTAAGCGAACCTTATTACCGAACCAACAGGAACATAACATTTGATAACTAATTTACGGACTTAGATACGGCTTATAATATGCTATCCAATGGTTTAACAATTGTTGGCACAGTTAGAAAAAAATAAAAAGTTTATTCCTTCTAAATTTCAACCATGTAAGAACAAGTAGCAATTGTCTTTTACATTTAGATTCATTGGTAACATACGTGCCTAAGCCTAAAAAAAGTGTCATAGTGTTGTCAACAATGGATTACTCGAATTACGCTAAAGAAGAGGTGAACCATAAAGCAGATATTATTCTCTACTATAATAAAACAAAAGGTGGAGTTGACTCGCTTGACCAGATAGTGCATCATTGTATGTGCAAATGTAGAACAAACCGTTAGACTTTCGCATATTTTATGAATATGTTGGATGTATGCTGTCTAGCCTCTTATGTTATTTGGACCAACCTGCATCCAAAATAGAACATAAAAAGACACGAAAAAAGACGTCTATTCATAATTGAAACAGCGGAACAACTTATATAATATAATATAAAGCCCCATATTATCAGCAGATCAAACGTAGGACTGTCTAAATCAACCAGATTCCTTATGGCGAACTTTGCAGGAGAAGCAACTGCCACAAATGCTACAACTCAGTCAACACAAAAAAGAAGATGTTACTTATGTCCATCAAAAAAATCAAGAACACAAAAATAAACGTGTAATAGTTGCAGAAAGAACGTTGGTATAAATCAATGTCATATATATATATATATATATATATATATATATATATATATATATATATATATATATATATAATATATATATATATTGTAGATACTTTAGAAATATTATAGGTTAAGATATACATTGTTTTATTTTATAAATCAAGCACTCAATAATTATTACTTTATTATTTAAAAATAAATACTCGAAAGATTTGATACACATTTTATTAATTATAATATGAAATGCCGTAATGTTGTTGCCGTGTGTCCAATTGACACACTCTGTCCTACTATGTCAGAAAAAATAAGTGTCCGGATAAGGGTTAAGGTTTAGTAGATGTGTATAATAACAAGTTTATTAGATTGTTGAAAATGATAAATTTTATTTTACTAAGCCAAAGCCACAAGTTTTTACACTTTTATTCTATTTAGAAATATTTTTGTTTAAATATTGTTTGGCATTAGATCGCAAATTACAAACAAATACCTATATTATTAGTGTTTCGATTTTTAGATGTCAGTTCTTCTCTGTACGTCAAAATAAAAAAAAAACATTTTACTTTACTTTATGTGATTTATTTCCTACGTATATTTGAAACATTTCTGATACCACAAATAAAGACTTTTAGCACAATTTAAATTGTCTTTATTCGTTTAATAAAACGATTGGCAATCAAGCCATTTTAAAATTACGATTACAGAAGTTTCTATAGTCCAACTCTGCAAAAAAAATCTAAAAAAGTGAAAAGACTCCAGCGCATGAATCATTTTTAGACCGGAAATGAAAACTCTAAAACAACAGGAAGTCGATACGATTGTTTGGACGAGTTTGGAAAACGTTAGCACAACTACAAGCATTTCATTATTTTTGATTGTATTATCAAATAATAAACTTAAAGAAAAATGGTTATGTCAGGCTTTAAATGTTTCTGTGCATTTTATTTTTGTTGTTGGAAATTAAAGAAATTATTAATTAAAGCTGTGGGGAAAATTAAAAAACTTATGTTTGTATTAAAACTCTAGATACTACAAAAGGACAATATTATTCTGAAGTTAATCGAGAGCTAACAACGAACAAACAAAAAAACACTGTGTTACAAAATACAAAAGGAAGACCAAATAGAACAGAATAACTCAGAACGAGATCCTACAACATATGCAAGGAATAATATGAGGAAAATAACAATACCATACATAAAAGGGTTATCAGAAATTTTATAGGTGAAACATCAAGGCCAATAAATGTTAGAATAAGTGAACAACAATCTTATATTAAAAATAGAGAATTTGATAGATCTTATATATATATATATATATATATATATATATACATACATACGCATGGACTAATGAACACAGTGTTCAATGAAATGATTCAAGTATAGTCCCAAAAGAAACAGATGGTAAAAAGAGAAAAATCAAATTTATTAACAACTAACGTTAAAAAATGACGCTACTATTTCTCCTATATTATTATATTACTACTATACTCGTGACGTCGTCTCGTACCGCTTTTTCCGTGACGCACGTTTTAGCATTTTACAATAGAGAAATAGTAATAAAACACCAGTATAGAAGCTAGTAACAGAACAGTACTATCGACACAATCTCCCGAGGAAGACTGGCACTATATTGAGAAAACAATCACAAGAGTAACAGAAGACTACCTTAAACAAGATACACGAAAAAAGAACAAACCATGGATGACAGAAGAAATTCTAAACATAATGGACGAAAGAAGAAAATACAGAGGTAAAAATGAAACAACATACAAGCAAATCCACAAGAATATCAGAATAAAGATCCAACAAGCCAAAGAAACCTGGCTAAGTGAAAGATGCCAAGAAATTGAAGAGTTGGAACAAAGACATGATACTTTCAATCTACATAAAAAAGTAAAAGAAGCCGCTGGAATATTTAAACAAACTCCTACGTCTTTCATCGAAGATAAACATGATAACCCGCTACTGAACATAGAAGATCAAATAGGTCTTCTTTGTCAACCATTTTCCATTCACTCCTGAATGTAGGTCTCTCCCAATTGCTTCCATCTTTCTCTATCTTGCGCCAATCTAATCCACTGTTTGTCTGCCACTGCACTTATGTCATCTACCAATCTTTTTTGAGGTCTTTCCATGCTTCTTGTTGTCGTCCTTGGTCTCCATTCTAGAATTCTCCGTGTCCACCTGTTGTCATCATATCGGGCTACGTGACCTGCCCAGCGCCATTTCATTTTTGTAATTTCTTCCACAATATCCCTAATCTTTTACGTTCTACGTCTTATCTCGGTGTTTCCAATCTTGTCTTTTAGTGATATTCCAAGCATGATTCGTTCCATTGCTCTTTGCAGTTGTTTCTAATTGTTTGGCAGATTTTTTGGTAAGTGCTACTGTCACCAAGCCGTAGGTACAAACAGGTAATATGCATGTGTTATACACCTTTTTCTTTAAGTTTATAGGAATGGAGGTGTTTTTTAAGATATGTGCTAGTTTGCCAAAAGCGCCCCAAGCCAGTTGTTTTGATTTTTTTTTTAATTTCTAATCAAATAGGTAGATGGAGAGAATACGTGGAAGAGATGTTTCAAGACCGAGAGAGGACGAACATTTACATGCAGGAGGCATCGACTGAATCTTATATCACAAAGCAACAAATTATTAAAGCGGCAAATCAGATAAAGAACAGAAAAGCTGTTGGGGAAGATAATATCCCAATTGAAGTAATAAAGATATTACTAGACGAACACATCGAAGTAATGGAAGATATATTTAACAAAATATACGAAACAGGCATAATACCAAATGATTGGCTGACATCGGTGTTTATAACACTACCAAAGAAGAGAAAACTCCAAGAAATGTGAAAACCATAGGATTATTAGCCTGATGAATCATATGTTGAAGCTTTTCCTACGAGTAATACACAATAGAGCATACAATAAAGTAGACGAATACACTGGTCAAACTCAGTTTGGTTTTAAGAATGGGTTCGGAACAAGAGAAGCACTTTTTTAATACGTGTGCTAGTTGAAAGATGTAGAGATGTCGATTCTGATGTATACTTGTGTTTTATAGACTTTCAGAAGGCGTTTGACCTGGTGAAACATGATAAAGTAATAGATATTTTAAGGTCATGTAATATCGACGATAAAGACTTAGGGATCATTTCAAACCTCTACCAAGAACAAAAGGCTAAAATCAAAATAAAAAGCGAAACATCTGGAAAAATTAATATCGAGAAGGGAGTAAGACAGGTATGTCTCCTATCGCCTTTGCTGTTCAATGTTTACTCTGAGAAGATATTTCAGAAAGCTTTGGAAGGCACCTCGGATGATATAATTATAAACGGGCAATGTATAAATAACCTGAGATATGCTGATGACACTGTCATACTGGCAGATAATGCTGAAGCCCTGCAACGCTTAATGGACCGAGTAACGACAGCCTGTAGAGAATTTGGAATTAAATTGAATACAAAGAAGACAAAAACGATGGTCATCAGCAAGCACCAAAACAGAGGGGTGAAGGTCAATGTCGATGGAACAGATCTGGAAAGAGTAACAATAGCAACGTACCTTGGAAGTAATCTTGATGAAACTTGGGACCAATCACTAGAAATAAGAATACGCCTGGAAAAGGCACGTACGTTTTACAAAATGCAAAAAGTTCTATGCAACCGCCAGCTGGGCATCTCATTGAGAACTAGAATACTTAAGGGCTATGTTTTCTCCACCTTGCTCTAGGGCTTGCCTGGATAATTACAGAAGCAATACAAAAAATAATCCAAGCATTCGAACTCTGGTGTTACCGTAAAATGCTCAGAATATCCTACATGAGCCATACGACAAATGCGGAAGTCTTGCGGAGGATGAATAAGGAAAGAGGGCTTATGTTTATAATAAAAGAACGGAAAACACAATATTTTGGTCACATCATAAGAAATCAAAAGTATGAACTGCTCCAACTTATAATCAGAGGCAAAGTCAATAGCAAAAGAGGACCAGGAAGAAGAAGCAACTCTTGGCTTAAAAACCTACGGCAATCGACGAACATGACCTTCATAGAACTATTCAGGGCTGCTTAGAGCGGCAGTCAACAGAGTCCGTATAGCCATGATGATTTCTAACCTTCAATAGAAGATGTAACTTAAAGAAGAAGAAGAAGAACAAATAATATTAAATGGGCAAATGTAATGGCCAACGTCCTTAAGGATAAGGCACCGTAAGAAGAGATAGAAGCTAGCTTATAAAAGCGATAAAAAAGTAGCACTACCTTGAAGAACAAATAAGTTAAACGCAAATTTATGCCACATGTGGCGCCCTCTATCAGCTACATCAAGATGTGGCCAGTGTACGATTTTTCTATGACGTTTTAGATATTCTTCTTAATGTATCATCTCAAGTTTCAGCGTTCGAAACTGCTCTGCTTTAGATCTACCCGCAATTAAGACTTGGATGATCTCACGTATGTTACTGATAGCAGTCGGCAGGAATAGATTCTCCAACTGTGTAACTTGGATCATTTCTGCGACAGAACAACTATAAGGCGACTAATTTCTTAATGATCAGGGCATCATGAGAGTGGGCAGGCGTCTAAAGCATTCCGAGTTTGCGTATGATAAAAAACAACCTATCATTTTAGCGGTAGATTATGTAAATACAACATTAATATTTGATAATGTTTACAACGATCTTATGCATGCTGGTCCTCAGCTTTTACTTGCAACGATAAGAGAAACTTTCTGGCCGTTATCAGGAAGAAATTTAGCGCTCCGTGCCCTACACAAATGTGTACAATGTTTTCGATTAAAATCTAAATCCATTTAGAAAATAATGGGTGACCTACCTGCCCAGAGTCTCGCAGGTGGCCCAGGGTTTATTGTAACAGGTGTAGATTATATGCAGGTCCTTTCTTAATTCGCGATAGAAAGGGTCCAGGTTGTAAACTAATAAAGAAATACATGTGTCTTTTCATTTGTGTTTGTACGAAGGCCATACATTTAGAATTAGTTACGAAACTGTCTAAGGAATTATTTCTGTTGGCCTTTAAAAGATTTATTGCACAAAGGGGCAAGCCTCAAATGATGGTTTCCGATAATGGAACCAATTTTATAGCAGCAAGTTTGGAGTTGAAATCGTTAAGAGAATTTTTAGAGCAGCACACTTCCGCGATATTAGAATCCTTGCTAAAGGATAATATTTCGTGGTTTTATACTTCCATATTCCCCACATTTTGGCGGACTGTGGAAAAAGCAGAGTAAGAACAGTTAAGCATCATTTACATAGAGTTTTGGAAACGTTTCAGGAATTTTATTCGTTGCTTGTGCAGATTGAAGCTATAATAAATTCATGACTAATTCATCATTTATCCTGTGATCCAATAGGTCTCTCTCCCTTAACTCCTGCACATTTTCTCGTCGGAAAACCACTTATTACCAATCCAGATCCAGATTTGCCTCATATTTTAGTTAATCGGCTCTCAAAATGTCAGCATATTCAGCAACTTTCTCAGCATATACAGGAACGATGGAACAAAGAATATATCCCCGAACAACAAAAACGTACCAAGTGGACTACTACTAACGGTGAATTTGCCTAAAACACGTTAGTGCTTATAAAAGAGGACAATTTACCTCCATTAAGGTGGAAGTTAGGGCACGTGATCGAACTTGTACGTAGCAGTGATGGTGCAGCCAGAGTTTTTAGGATAAAGACAGATAATAGTATCATAACTCGTTCTTTGGCAATAGAATCATGCTGGGACCTCTCTTCAGATCATTCTCCCATTCTAATTGACCCAGAATCCAAAATCATACTCAGAAATAAGCCTCCAGTCCTAACCAATAATCAAACAAATTGAAAAATATTCCGAAGCGCACTAGCAGAACAAATACCAACGAACTTGCCACTTAAAACAGAATTACAAATTGAAAATGCGGTACAACAGCTTACTACCTTCATACAAAAGGCAGGTTGGATTTCTACTCCTAAACAAACAACATGGAAGGAAAGCATAAACTGTTCGCAAAGTGCAAAAAAACCTGATCGATGAGAAAAGAAAACTTAAGAAAAAGTGGCAAAACACACACGCTCCTATTGACAAACAAAATTTAAACAGAATTACCAGAAGACTTAAAAATCTATTAAAAGAAGAGAAAAAACAGGGGATCCAAACTTACTTAGAAAATGTGACTCCGTCCAAAGATACCAATTATTCTCTACTATGGAAGAGTAGGGCAAGAACAGACACAGAAAAATCTGAGACAGTCGCTGAACATCTTTCTACAGTATTTAGTCCATTTAACAGAGTAGTGCCATTAGAACAGGAAGAATTATTTAATTCTTTTCTTGATGCCCCAGGAACTAACCAATGACTGTTACAGAATAATCACTATTATCTTCAATGCTATGCTTATTCTGCATTACTACCCTCTGCAATGGAAAGTGGCACAGCTTATACTCATTCAAAAACCTGGTAAAGATCCAAAAGATGTCAACTCATACCGACCGATTAGTCTACTACTAGTCATCTCTAAGGTCTTTGATAAACTTCTGCTACGAAAAATCAAACCTATATTGGACGACAAGTGTCTCATACCTGACCATCAATTCCGTTTTCGTAACCAACATGGTAACAATCGAACAAGTTCACAGACTATACACAACAATAAGAAGTAGTCTCCGAGAACAAGCAATACTGTACTGCAGCCATTTTAGACGCCTCTCAATATTTTGACAAGGTGTGGCATACAGGACTTCTGTACAAATTAAAGAAAAATTTACCTTTCCCTTACTTTAAACTGCTTCAATCATACCTTACAGAAAGGAAATATTTTGTAAAATATAGTGAAGCCTATACAAAACTCTAGCCCATCCTATCTGGTCTACCTCAGGGTAGTGTGCTCGGACCGATTCTGTACCTAATTTATACGGCTGACTTGCTAATAAGCAATAACCTAACGCTTGCAACATTCGCAGATGATACTGCTTTCTTGGCCTCTCATAGCAACCCAATAATAGCATCAGAGAGACTGCAACTACATCTGAACAAAACAAATTAATGGCTTAAACTCTGGAGAATTAGAGTAAACCCCTCAAAATCCACACAAATTACATTCACTCTAGAAGAGGTACATGTCCACAAGTTAACCTCAATGGACGACATCCTTTGCCCCAAAAGCATGACGTAAAAATACTTAGATATTCACCTTGACAAACCTCTAACTTGGGACCAAATATATATGGAAGAAAAGGCTTCAATTGTGAATTTTATACAGAAAACTTTACTGGACGTTGGGAAAAAAACTCTCACCTATCGATCGACAACAAGCTGCTGATATACAATACAATAATAAAACCCATTTGGACATATGGCTAGCAGCTCTGGGTTCAGCTTGCAAATACTAATATTATGATACTACAAAGATTTCAGCTCTGAGAACAATCGCTAATGCACCTTAAAATATCCAGAATAATGCAATACATAGAGATCTTCAGGTACTAACAGCCTCTGAAGAGTGCAAAAAATCTTCTGAACAATATTAAAACAGGTTGCGGGTGCATCCTAATAGCCTGGCACACAATCTTCTTAATAACCAACAAGCAAAGAGATTGAAGCGACATGACCCCTTGGACCTACCTCACCGATCCTTACAGAGCCTACAGCAGTGAGAGTTACGCCTTCAACAGCAGTGTATGTGCGCATCCTACCAGTAAACAAGCCAATTTGTGTCGTGATGATTTGGTGACTGGACCTTACATCTCTCTATCATGTAAAGACAAAAAATTTTACTTATTGTTTTCACTGCAAAAGAGATTGTAAAAATCTTAGATGTTAATAAAAAAAAAAAAATAAAATAACTCGTTTTTTTTTCCAAGGTGTGTCCGTTGCCCGTTTTGGACTAAATGTAGTTCAAACATTTGAACATTTATCATTAGCAGACGATTTTGTTGGCAGTGTTTGCCAAGGTGGGAGTCATGGTAACGCCACAATCTGGCAACATAGTAGCGTATGAAGATATTATGCCATATGTGAAGATTAGAAGAGAGCCCTTAAAAGCACCCCAATACGACAGCACTTAAATACAACAATTCGAGGCCGGCGGACCAGCTAGCGGAACAATACTTATTAGCAATTATATTTAGGTATTGTTAATTCAAAATAAAGTCAGTTTTTCACACGCCACGGAGTTTGATTATTTACCAGCGGCACACGCGAAGTGCAAATCAGGTCATTCCACAGCGCCTGCACAAGAAACTCTACAATGGTGTGAAAAGGTAAAACACTCATATCAAAAACGGGAAAGAAAAATTTGGTACCTTAACTGTTGTAATTATAATTAACCCCTAATAAACTAAATTGTTAAATATGTAAAATTGTTAGTAACTTAATGTCTCCATAATAGCCAGATCCCTAAAGACTGGAACGAGAGTCTAGTAATACTCTTACACAAAAAAGGGAACGAATGTGATCTACAGAATTATAGACCTACATATTTGCTCAGTCAAGTATACAAATTATTTATGAGAATTATTAATAACCGGTTAACCTACAAAATGGATAATTACCAACCGGTTGAACAGGCTGGCTTCCGCAAAGAATGAGATGAATGACAATGAGAACATTGATAGAGAAGGTAAATGAATACCAACTACCCGTATTTCTTGCCTTCGTCGACTATGAAAAGGCGTTTGATAGTATCGAGATGTGGGCCATAGAACAAGCTATTAATAATTGTAGAATAGATCGAGATATAGGCAACTAATACATTATATATATGAAAATGCAACTATGATAGTACAACTAGACGAAAATACAAATCCCATCCCCATTAAGAGAGAAGTGAGACAAGGAGACGTATATCGCCAAAGCTTTTCAACTAGCCCTAAAAGACGTCTTCAAAACTACAAATTGGTCAACCTATGGCATTAACGTTAATGGCAACAAGTTAAACCACCTCAGATTCGCTGAAGACATAGTGATTATAGCGAGCACATTCGATGAACTGCAAATTATGTTGGGGAACTAGCAGCCAGCTTCCAATACGTCGGCCTAAAAATGAATATGAAAAAAACAAAAATAATGACAAACACAGAAGACCCCAGACATATAACTATAAACGACAGTGAGATAGAACAAATCCAGGAATATATCTACCTAGGCAAAATCCTAAGACTTGACAAAGCGAACCAAAGTGTGGAAATTACTAGAAGAGCAAGACTAGCATAGGCAGGATTTGGAAAACTTAGTTGGATACTTAAGAATCGCAAAATACCCCAATACTTGAGGAGCAAAGTGTTCAACTAATGCATCCTTCATATCATGACATATAGATGTCAAACCTGGACCCTAACCAGGGCAAACATGAATAAACTAGCCACAACAGAAAGAACAATGGAAAGAGGAATGTTAGGTATACGTCTGTCAGATAAAAAGAGGAACGACTGGGTAAGATCCAAAACAAAAGTTGAGGACATAACAATAAAAATTTCAAAACTTAAATGGAGCTTCGCGGGCCACACTGCTAGACAGAAAGACCAACGTTGGAATACTACCATACAACATTGAAGACCTTACGAAAGTAAACGACCAAGAGGAAGACCACAGATGAGATGGATTGATGACATTAGAAGAATAGCCGAAACAAATTGAAAATATGTTGCTCAGGATAGAGACCGATGGAAGGAGTTGGGAGAGGCCTATGTCCAAACATGGACGACAGAAGGCTAAGAAGAAGAAGAAGAAGAAGAAGAAGAAGCAACTTAATGTAAATTATTAAAAGCTTCATCTAGAGATTTTTATCAGTTTTCAGGTAAATCGTTAAACTATATGATAATCATACAAGATTTGACTTTCTTTCAATGTTATAGTGTATAATATTATAGCTCGAGGCAAAAGTAGCAGCTTCCGTATTAAACTGAGTCAGTTCGGATACTTAGTCTTTAAATATACGAGCTTTTGTATTTAAAGAACGAAGTTTCATTGAATATAATTAATAAACACCGCTATCCGACCCAATCCTTTTCTCTAACCATTCCATCTGCATTACTGCAATGCCTCTTAATATAATTTGTAGTTCTTTGACGCCCCTAGGTTATTTGTTTAACATATTAAGTACGTAGCTTTTATGAAACGTGTTCCTCTAGAATAAGCCGGGTTTAGCCCCTCGGAATAGAAGGAAAACAGCCAGGGGCTCATTACAGTCTACGATGAAAATTTTACCTCAATGGCAAGGGGGATTAGGAAATAATAAAACGATTGTCGGCACTTGTTGCGATTACTAATCATGTGGATGGATCCTTGAAGATGTATTGTTATTATTTTAGATAATTTAAGATAACTAGAACAACGTTTGAAACTTTTACGTAGCGGATAAATTTTTTAACTATTTACTTTACAAGACCTTATTATAATATGTTTCATCTAAGAAGACCTCTTTGCAATTAAATGCAGGTAACTTTATTACTAGCGGACCAGATAAGCGGCGATATAGTTTACTCTACCTTTATGAATAATATTTTACTGCGCTGTTGTTTCAATCACACTGCTCAACAAGTTATCGTTTATTGGTTTTAATATTTTATTACAATAGTACGAGTATGGAATATATTATTTAAACAGTGAATTTATGACATGTTAATTTTTTTAAATTTCTTCTGACGTATCGTATAATGTAGGTTTACCCAATAATCAAAGTTATGCCTTTAACCTCCTCAGTCCATACGTGCAGCCTGCTGGACAATGTTTACTAATTTTTTACAGGGTGACTAATCGGGTTAAGCATCGCCGCGTCCTATAGTACAGCTTATTGGACTTCCTATTTATCAGTAAAATTTACTCGTTTGCAAAATTTGACTAACACGCCTACTTCATTAGTTTGTTGTTACATGTGGTGAAACTTGTGAGGTTATGATGGCGTCTCCACAAAAATGCAGTAAGTTGTAGTGTTTTTCTGTATTTTAAATTATTGATTGTTTGTCATTTATGTTATTTGATATTTGGACGTTTTTGTGGTAAATATATATTTGAAAATAATTACAACTGGTCACGTCAGGACTCCTCTGAAATTTTTGTCCAGCATTTTGGACATTGGGACTTAGTTAGCAAAATATTTGTACCATACTCACGTTGTTTACGTTTGGTTACAGACAGAAAAAGGATATTGACAGAACGTGAATTGGAGGATATTTTGGCAGATAGCGATTTTTTATTCAGTGACGATAGCGATAATGATTGCAGTGAGAAAGAGAATGTTTCTGAAAACCTTTCAGATGTTTTTTATGAAAACGAAAATAATGCCCAAAATGATTTAGAAAATAATTTAGATTCGGAGTGGGATTCAGACGATGATACTCCTTTACTGCAGCGTTGGGAGAAACTCCAGGAAACGGAACAATTAGATGATGTTAAGAATACTTGGAGTGAAAAAATTTTTGAAACGCAAGATTTCGACGTCGCTGATCCATGGATAGCTAATGAAGATCACGAATTCTGGACACCATTGGATTATTATTTCTGAGTATTTTCCTGAGCATTTTTGGGAAAACTTGTCTTCAGCAAGTAACATACGAGCTATGCAAGCAAACGAAAAGAAAAGCCTAAAGTCAACTCCAGAGGAATTCAATGAACTAGCAGGTATTCATATTTTGATGGGAATTTTTGGACTACCGCGTTTACGCCTCTATTTCATGAAAGGAATTGAAATTCCTATTATTACTTAGCTTCCCCGAGATAGAATCTACAAGTTACGAAATTTTTTTACATGTTGTAGACAACTGTGCAGTTTCAGAGGAGACCAAAAAGGCAAATAAACTTTGGAAAGTTCAGCCTATTCTTGATGTTGTACGAAGTAAATGTATCACTCTTCAAAGATCTCTCGAGTTGTCAATTGACGAACAAATGATTCCATTCACTGAAACCACTGGTCTACGACATTATGTCAAGAACAAACCTAATCCTGTAGGTTTGAAGAATTTTGTGCTTGCTTCAAAAACACTGCTAGTCTTGGATTTCTTTATTTATCAAGGTGCAAACACTTGGTCTGATGCTGCTCCTGACAAATCCTTGGGCATTGGAGGCTCTGTAGTGAAAAAAATGTCGATGCACTTGTGTCCAGGAACAACAATTTACTTTGACAGATATTTCACTTCCATTAATTTACTCGATTATTTATTAGAAAAGGGAATATGTGGTATTGGTACCATTATGAATAATCGAATTCCACGAGTACTTAGAAGCAAAATAAAAAAAGATTCTGCTTTACTAAAAGAAGGCCGAGGGTCGCATGAAGAAATGGGTACGCTGGTGATAAGAAAGTCTCTATTTTGAAATGGATGGACAATAGATCTGTGACAATGGCTTCTACATCTGCAGGTTCTTTGCCTTTGACTGACGTACGAATATGGGATAAAAAAATTCAAAGTATATTCTGGTGCCTTGTCCAAACACAATTGTTAAATACAACCAGTCAATGGGAGACGTGGATTTGTGTGACAGATTTATCTCATATTACAGAATCTGTATGCGCACTAAAAAATGGCCTGTACGTGTCTTTTGGCACTTTATTGATCTTGCATTGACCAATTCATGGATAGAGTATCGTCAGGATAGGGTAGCGTTTGGCAATAAGAGATCCAAGGTAATGGATTTACTGGAATTTAAGCTGTATGTTGGAAGGTCACTAGCTTTAGGTGGTAAGCCTACAAATGGAAGAGAAGCTAGTACGTCTATTTCAAGAAAACCGGAGACATCTGAAGATGAAGAGCCCATAATTCCAGTAAAACGATCTAAAGTTGTCCACTTACCGCCTATGGATGTAAGAAAAACTAGTAATGACCATTTGCCAATATGCTCTGTCGACAATAAAAATTCTTACATGCGTTGGCCGAAACCCTGGGTTGTACTAAGAAGACTAGATTCTTTTTGTGTAAATGCAAAATGTACTTGTGTATTTCTCCTGAACGAGAATGTTTTTTTTCAGTTTCATACTTAAATTATATGTAAGTTGTTCTGATGTCCATTATGCTGGACCTGTCATAATTATGTCTGTCAAATAAATTTTTTTTAGTTTTTATAGATTTTCGTTTATATTTTTTTTAACAAATCAAGAGGGAAAATAGAAAATATTGCTAAAATAATAAAAACTCTTTTCTTGGGACTGAGGAGATTAAAATAACATATTAATAGAAAAAATAAGGAGTAAGTACCGTGTGTGTAATAATCGTAATCTCCTTTATACACACTTTAAAAAACTGTTGAGTAATGTATATCTTAAATTCACACAATCATTGAAAAATGATTCGTGCTGTTTAAAAATATCTTTCTATTAACTACACTGGCATTGGCAAAGTAGACCAAATTCAAACCTCATCATATTTCTCTTCTGTTTATGGTTAAAAATTAATTGATGGTCGTGGGTAGTATTGGTGTTATTTAATAATTGTTTGTTGACAAGTTTGTAACGGGTAGCTCTTTCGGGGCGACAAACTCAGTAAAACCCAGGATGAAATAAAAAAAATCTAATAATATAACGTATGTACAACAAAAATAAAAATAAAATTAATTCTCTGCCGTATATACAATAGAAATAAAACGAATCCTTCGTCCCCGTCTGGATCCCGCGATGAAGGAATTCCCCGGCGAGCGTCTATAAAAGAAAGAAAAAGATATTGTTAATACCGAAACAAATAAAATAGGTGAAGTCAATCGCACGCAGACTTATACTCGCTTCCGCTTCAATTCAGCGGAAGCTCCGACCTGCATTCGCAAACTAAATATTCGGCTGTGCAGGCCCCACGGTAAAGTTCAATACACAATACCGATGGGTTCTGCTTGGTTAAGGACAGAGTATGATCCTCAATACGAAAATCTCTCTGTCCGGGTTGGCTCGCAGTCCGTTTTCTTCGTTTTTCTAACTCTAATGACGGAATGAGACCAGTTGTTCCATCTACACCCAGCTTGTTTCGCCTGCCACCAATTAGGATCGCGTTGATCGACTATCTGGAGAATATCTCCACGATCAAATGGAAGGTCTATTGCTTTACATGGCAGAAGTGTGTCTTCTTGGGGAATGTATTCATAGGGAGCTCGCATGTAGCACGTTAATTTTTTAGTTATTCCATTGGCCATAACAATATTTGAATGTGTCACTTTACCGTTTCCGGTATTACTGTGAACTTTGAGGGTCAGGTGGTCCTTCGTTTTTGCGATTCCCGTTTGCAAATCTTCGGGGGTAGCTACTGGAGTTCCGTTAACCTCCAGATAATGTCTCCGACATGTAACATATTGTTTATCATGTTTTTTTATCATAACACCTTCAATTATTCGAACTGTTGTAAAATTTCCGTTTTCATCAACTTGCACCGTTAATCCTAGAAGTTCTCCCGGTTTTTGTCGGACCCCCATTATTCTGTACTCCTGTCCAGTTATTCCGTTTGGAAATAATTTTGGCAAGTTATTTTTTTCAGGTTTGGTATTTTCGTATATTTTTGCTATATCGTCGTGGCAATCTATAAGAGTGTTGATCTCGGGGCTATTGAGCAAATTTCCTAATTCTCTAGCATCGATGTTCCACGATAAGCTGCACCTGATCTGCACTTTTTTTAATAAGTCTCTGCCTTCTGTGCTTTCCGGTTTTGGTATTACAGAGATATCAACTTCGATTTCATGAACCCTACTATAAAATATGTTTACTATGGTAAAAACCAAACAAGACACTGTCACAGACACTCACGTCACCGTTTAAATTCCTCAAAGACCACCGTATAAACTGGAGAAAACAGAAACAGTCATAGCTAATACAGGCTAATGGTTTAAAGCAAAAAAATCGATATAATAATAGTCTCCCGTTTAATACCGCACGCGGCTTTGGGAGTATAGCAGGGTAGTCTGCTATATCTAGGGCCTACGGTATACAAGGAAGGTAACATGGCCAGTGCTACGCTTCAACCGCCTATTATTACCCCTGGTTTTAACCCAAGGTACTCATTTTATTCAGGCTGAGTCGACCTGGGGCCTATAGACATTTTAAAAATGCCTAGTTGTTCTTGCCGGCGGTAGGATTCGAACTCACGACCACCACGCAAAAAAATCGATACCAATTTTTTTCGCGTAGCGTAATTCAACATCGTTCACCGTGAACTCCTTTGACAACTGAAAGAACTGATTCTTAATCATACTGGACACGGCAACGGTGAAAACTGTTAACAAAATAATTTGTGTTCGATTGTTTCGTCTGTTGTACAACCCTCGTCCTTTTTAGGGTGTAGAAGTTGTATATAAGTACCTATTTTTTCTCCTAGTGTAGTGAAGTAGTACTTTAAAGCAAACTAAGTAATTTGGAAGAAAATAAAATACAGTCGAAACGAAGAGTGTTATCTCTAGAAGGACGGCGTTTAGTTCGAAAAGTCGAAAGTTATTTCAATCTGGAAAAAATTAATATGGGTCCATTAACATCTGTTATGGCAGTTTACAACGGAGATGAAAACTTATTCTACCCTTTGTCCGGAAGGTAATAAGGTTCTTGTACCAAAAGGTTCCAAAAATGTTTATCAGATAAAGCAAGGCCCATCGAAAACAAATATTACCGGCATGTTCACATTTTCTGCTGCTGGAGTTACAACGCCACCGATGATGGTTAATGCTTATAAAATATTACTCAAAAGCATCGCAGAAGGTGTTCCAGGTGGATAGAAGTGAAAAAGGTTGGATGCAAACAGAGTCTTTTATGAATATATATCTAAAATATTCTATCCTTATTTAGTATAACAACATGTAATATTTCCAATTACATATAATGTTTGTAGATGGGCGCAAAACACATCGAAGATATCAACTAAGTCAACTATTAATTACTATTTAACTGGGAATAAGCAACAATTAAAGATAAAAATACGTTTTTTAACGTATTAATTTCTACTTCGGAAATCGTTCTCAAAATACAAACAGTAAATTAAATTCCCAGTTAAATAGTAATTAATTTAAAATGCCACAAGAAAATAGGTTCAGAACAATATTAAGTCAACTATGTATAGAACTTGAAATAATCATAGTGGTAATATATCCAAATTCCACTAGAATTCTTCAAACCGGCCCACGTTTCTAGTTTCAAGCCACTTAAAAATGCGTGAAAAAGAGCTCCACTAGTCAAAACTCTATAAATAAGAGCAGTAACATGGAATATTGTTTGCCTTGTGCCAAAACTCCCGTACGTAATGCCGCGTTTACACGATGACAATTGGCGAGACAATTGTAAAAAGACAACTTACTGGTATGAAATTATTCTCTTCGTTTAAACACTTTAGGCCAATTGCCTTGCCAAACTGCCCTCACAGTTGGCCCAAAATTCAGTTGTCTCCGAAAGTAGACTGAGGACAATGAGCTGCGTCCAGTGAGCCCGCCTTTTGAAATCTCAATTGTTGCGACAATTGGCGCCGTGTGAAGGGTGTATTCCAGTAGTGCTGTCTTGTTTTTTGCCAGTTCCCTCTAGTTCGGTTGTGTCAGTCACAACATACACATGGTTTGTTTTATTTGTAGCTGTCTACTACCATGTCAATAGTTGGCCCCGTATAAACATCTTCTCGTTTAAACTGGACTGGCCTTCGACAATCCGCAACCACATGATGACAATTGTCCAATGACAATTGTCTCGCCAATTGTCATCGAGTAAACGTGACTTAAGGGAATACTTAATACCCAAAGACTTGGTTTTGCAATTTCTTCTTCAGTCTATAAAAAAAACTAGAAGAAAAGGAATGCGAAAAAAATAAAAAAGAGCGAACAAAGTTGGAAAATAAAAGCAAAACAATTTCTGAAAAGTAAAAAAAAATCTTGAAAAAAAATTGTTAAACGAAACACTAAGAATAAGGTACTTAAGAAACATCTTTATTTCAGCAGAAACCTAGTATTTTAGATGACTTAAAGTAAACTTTTAAATAAAGAAGATGATCAACAGTCCCCATGAAAAATGGTCTGGAAATGGGTCAATTCCAAAAACATGTTAAATCTCTGTCAGAATTTGATCCAGAAGTTCCAGAACTTTACTCACCACATAAACATAATAATTTTATGAATAAGGGTATATGCTTTACATGTACTGGAGACATTTTTCCCTGGTTAGTTTTGGGTTAAGTGCCAGAACTTGCCAGAAGTGTTCCAGAACATTTCATAAGAGATGTCTTAAAAAATATTATTTATATAAAGAATATTTTGTTTGTAAAACTTGTCTTAAACAACTTGGTTAAAAAATATTGTTTTTGTAAAATTTGTTTTAAAAAATATATAAATAAATGACACTTTGTTTGTACGTATTTACTTATGTTTTAGTTTTGTTTTCAATGCTCAATTATTATTTTGATATAAAAATTATCCCACTTACTGGGTGCCAATAGTTGAGTATACTACCAACTACTAAATGCTAATAATGTCCCCCTCTGCCGCTGTCCCCTCATTACGTGTCTGGGGCACTAGGGCACAGCGATCTTCTTCTTCTTCTAGTTCCATTATCTAGACCGTTATCGATCGTTGGATATCATTTTGGCTACCATATTCGCTATCGTGACTTTATTGACAGCAGCTCTAAATAACGATGTAGTTGATTTTCCATACCATTGCCTTAGATTTTTCAGCCATGATGTTCTTCGTCTACCAGGACCACGATTACCTTGGATCTTTCCCTGAATGATCAGATGTAAAAGATCATATTTTTCAGGGTGTCTCATAATGTGACCGAAGTATTCCAGCTTGCGTTTCTTTATTATATTGACCAGTTGTGTTGTTTGGCTCAGCCGTCTAAGGACCTCCTCATTTCTAACTCTGTCGACCCAGCTTATTTTCAGTAGTCGTCTGTATACCCACATCTCAAAGGCTGTCAAGCGTTTAAGCCTAGCCTCAGTTAGAGTCCACGCTTACACTCCATACAGCAGGACAAGAGAGATGTAGCAAGATGTCATACGAACTCTAAGGTCAATGCTAAGATCGTGACTGCAAAGTATGTTTCTCATTTTTACAAAGGCAGCTCGGGCTTGTTCTATTCGGCTTTTAATTTCTGCGGTTGGATCCCAGCTCTCATTGATATTATTGCCGAGATACACGAGTTTCCTCTACTCTGTCCAGTGTGTCATCTTCGACTTTTATACCGTCATCCTGTATATAATTTTGTTTGCTAACTATCATTATATTTAGTTTTCTTAACGTTGAGTTTTAATCCATACTGATCACAAGTCTGTTTTATTTTGTTCATTAGATTTTGAAGGTCTTCTCCGCAATTGGCAAAGACTAAGGTATCGTCGGCATATCTAATATTTGAAATGAGGTTGAATGCTCGAATAAATGAACTTTGAAAATAAGGCTATTATCGAGCACAAGGACAGAGAATGTAGCGTAGAATCTTTAAGTAATTTTAAACTGTTTGTCCTCGTTTTAGTGTAGTGTTTTGTACAATTTTATGTCAATATTAATGTTTCCACATTCTACGCTTGTCGGATAGTTTACATTTTGAAATGCCCCTGAAGATGCTATTTTAGGCGAAAGTACTTGGGCTTTATTTAATTAACTTTTGCTCGATAATAGCCTTATTTTCAAAGTTTATATCTAATATTGTTGACGGTTACTCCATTCACAATAATACCTTCGGTTGTCTCCATTAAGCCTTCCTTAAATATTTCCTCCGAATATAAGTTAAAAAGTAAAGGCGACAATATACAGCCTTGTCTCACTCCTCTTTTTATATTTATTTTATCCGACAGTTCTTGTTCAACCTTTATTCTTGCCACTTGATGCCAGTATATATTTGTAATTATTTGTAGATCTCTATCGTCCAATCCGATATCGAGGGCACAGCGATATGAACTACTAAAGCTGGTAATACAGGGAAAGATAAGAGGAGGAAGGAGTATAGGAAGAAGGAGAGTATCATGGTTGAAGAATTTAAGGGACTGGTTTAAATGCAGTTCTATAAAACTCTTTAGAGCAGCAGTAGATAAAGTAAAGATAGTGATGATGATATCCAACCTCCAATTGGGAGACGGCACTTAAAGAAGAAGAAGAGAACCTCCTCATCTGTGACTCGGTGAGTCCACGGGATCTTAGATAGGGAAGAAGAAACACATATACTTTTCCTAGACTTTAAACAGGCGTTTGACAAACTAAAGGGTACTATTTATTTCATAAATACGGTACCATATAGATAATAAAAAGCTGTCAAACGCAATAACTATATACAAGAATGCAGCACAAATCATAGTTGTACCTATATACATATTAGAAGAAAGAAATAGCAAGACGACAATGGCACTAGGTAGAAAAAAATCAAACTAAAATGAAAACGCCAATGTTAGGCTAACGTCCAGTGGACAATCAAGGGCAGTTAAGAGAAGGTAAAGTACTTCGGACATATTATGCGAAATTAATCCAGATATAACAAAAATCGCTACAAGCCGTCCTACAGGTAAAATATTTTAAAGGCGAATTTCAGAAAGAAGACCATCCAAGTTAAAGAACTTACTTCAACACAATACTGTGCAGCTTTTCCGCGTTACTACAGATAAGATAAAGTTTGCTATAATATTGCCAACATTCGTCACGGATAGGAGCATCAAGAAGAAGGTATACTTAGGCCCGGCGCAAATTGAGCACAGCCCACACACATCCCACGCGCAGCCCAGGTATGGTCCA